TCTCTGGCCTCACGGTCTTCGCCGTCCTATGGCCTGAAGCCACCACCCCACTGAGCGCTCTGGTCTGTATGCTGACCTTCTCCACCATCTAGGTGTAGTGGACATGCTGGTCGACCTCCGCCATCTTCTTCGCCAGGCCTGACAGCACATCGCCCGAGTCGTGCAGGTACCTCTGCACCGCTGAGGACGTCCATCTCAGAGTCCTCTTCACGACCTCGATCTCCCCGGTGGCCTGGTAGAGTGCCGACGCGCCCCCAATCCTCAACGAGTGTGACTGGAAGCGCTCAGCCGGCAGGCCCAAAGCCTTGTGGCGGCTCGCTGCAGCAAGTTCTGGATCTCGAGGCGCTTGATGACTCCTCCTGAGGCCCACCTGAACAAGGGTAGGTGACTCTCTGGCCCTGACCCGAAGCGACGAGGTGCCACTTCTCGCAAACGATGCAAGGCCGTGACCACACAGACGTGCTCGACATCGGTCTTGAGCATGGTCTTGCACGTGCCGAATGCCTCCTGGTCAGCCTTTGTCTTCCTGAACTGCATCGTCACCTCCTGCGGGTCCGGCTCATCACTTTGACCTCGAGTGGTCAAAGAAACATCTTGTCCACGGAGGATCATCTCCTGGTCCACCCCATTGGAGTCCGCGAATTCACGAGCTCGGAGCATGAAGAACCAGCCCGTCACCATGGCGGCGTGCACCATCCTGCAGTCCACCTTGAGCTCGCCGAAGGACTCCGCTCCCGTGGCCATTCGTTTCCCGATCCACTTGAGCATCTGCACTGTGACCCCCAGGCGTCTCGGCCTCTTCACAGAGTTCTTCTCTAAGGAGTTCAGGACGATCCAAAGGCGGTGCATCTTGGTGGTGGTATCACCGTGGCCTGCTCGCTTGTGCGCGTCCTTGATCGCAAACACTGCCTGCTTCATCGTGGCCACCGAGGTTCCCAGCCATCCCAGGTACCCGAGGTAGCCCAGCACCTTATTCTCGTTGAGGAAAGTCAACAAACTTGGCTCCGTCCTCATCTACGGCTTTCACCTCCTTCTTTCTGCGTCCTCCTCAGCGCCTCAGCTCGGCGCCCTCAAAGTTCCCGGAGCCTCTCTCCTCAAGCCCCAGGGCCTCCAGCCATAGCTCCTCTCCCCAGAACCACACGGCCGACGTTTGGTCTTCAAGACCTCCAGCTTTCCGTTGGGGTTCGGCTCGTCGGAAATCTTCTCTTCTCCACTTCCGCAACCACCTGAGCAGGGCGCCCAAAGACTTGTAGTCCTCATAGTCGACGCACATCCCTGCCTTTCCTTCGTGGCCTTCCTTTGCGAGCTCTGCGGCGACCCCAATCAAGCTCAGAGCTGTCCGTCTGCCTGTAGCCTTGCAGCCTTCCTTCTCCGTCTCGAGCTCGCCGATCTGTGACACCATCTCCCACTCATCCAAGCGCCGGCCCTGCAGCATCCAAATCTCCTTGCCAGACAGTGCCCTCACCGTCCCCACCGGAGCTGCTTTGTCCAAGACAAACACCCGCTGCATCTTCTTCTCCGCCTGGTCCAGCAAGGGCCACCGACATGGTCCGCTCATGGAGTACACGTGTTGCCTCTCGCCCCTGACCCAAGCGTGTGCCGCCACCACCGGGAGCATCACCTCCTGGCCCACATTGATCGCTGTCTCGAACTTGTGGACACCCATGCAATTGCCCTCCTGCACCTTCTGCAAGTAGGAGCCCATCGCTGGCGGGGTCACAGCCTTCACCATCAAAAACTCCACAGCTTCTGCCGTTTTGCTCATCGGGCAGACGAAACCAGCCACCCTCCGTCGCACCATAGCCTCGCCCAACTCAGATGTTAGGAAGCCCTGCAAGATGCATGTCCACCCAATGGCCTCCGCCCATCGTTCCACGTCAGACCACTTCACCTCGCCGGGGCCTTCCAGAACTGCCACATCGAAGGTCTCACGGTCGAGGAACTGGAGGAACTCCTTGACCTTCTTGCCCTTAGGGTCCGGCCCGATGGTGCCCGCCACGACCTTGTACTCGGGGCTCTCTTCGTCGCTCGAGAAGTACTCCCAGTCTCTGACATGACGATGCCCCGGTGTCCACTCGACGACTTCCACCTTGGACATATCAGCCGGCTGTCGAAAGATTGCCCGAAAGACCCTGAGTTCTCTCAGCCTCATCAACTCCCACCGGTCTTCCTGGTCAGCCCATGACAGGAAAGATAGGCCAAACCGCTCAGTGTCCTCCAGGGCTTGTTGGATGCTCAGCTTGATGTCCTGGCGCCTCCAACCCTTCTTCTCCATGAGCTCCACAGCCTCCTTCTCCTCCAGCCGGGTGAGGGCGTCCGCATCCTCGTTGTGGAAGGTGCGCCACCAGCCGCCCAGGATCCTGCACCTGTGCCTCTTCTCCACCAGGTTCAGGACTCGTATGAGCAAGCGCCCAGCCTTCACACCACTCCTCCTGCTCGTGATCCAGAAGTACACGACCTTGTTGTCCGGCGTACACCGCAACCCGGCCTTCCCACTGGTGTCCTACCTTACAAGCAAAGGCGACGAAGCTCAGCATCTCTCCCAGGTGGATGGCCAGCTTCTGGTCCCCTTGGCCCTCTGCTGCAACGACCTGTTTGATCCAGGGTTTCAGCGTCTCGACCTCCTCCCGGCAGCCGAGCCCATTGGTCCAGTCGATGGCTGCCACCACATCGGGTGTCGCATCTGATGACACGAAGACCGGCCCTCCACCTTGCTGTCCGGGAAGTGCTAGCCGTTCGAGAGGAGGCAGTAGTTCCCTGATGATCGCCCCCAAACTTCTCGACCGACGTCTCGGAGCGGGAGCAGAGCCATCGACAGTCCTCAAAGAGCTCCCATAGTGCTTCCCAGGCCTGTAGCTCCTCTTGGTTGGCGGCCTCGGATCCATCCTCTCGCATCAGGCGTGGGCGAACTGCTGCCCTGCCATCCATTCCACCAAGGAACCCGTCTGCACTCTTGAGCTCGTTCTTCAGTCCTGCCACGACCGTGCTCCAGCCAGTTGCGATTCCCCGAAATGTTTGAAACTCCTTCAGCGGGAGGTCCTTGTGCCCGTAATTGAAGCAGGGTTGAGCCAGGAGGTAGGCGCCCTTGAGGATCCGCGCTTCCGGCAATGACATCCTTTCCGTCTCCGCGTTGATGGTGAGGCCCCACACCGTCTGCTGGCGGCTGAAGCACCCTTCTTCTGCATCCTTCAGCTTGTTGATGGCCTTCTCCCCAAAAGCTGCATCACCGCCCACTCGTAGGCCTCACTTGAAACCCAGGGTCTGAGACCAATCGCTGGTTCCACCAGGACCATATCATCTACCAGGATCTTGCCACAGAAGTGCACCTCCCCGTCTCATCGACTCTCCGAAGGCTTCAGACCGCGGTGCACCTCCTCCGTAACTCGGCCCCAGACCGTCCACTCCAGGTAGATCACCGTCAGGTTGGAGACGACCCCCGCTCTTCCCGATGCCTCGCCTGACCCGATCAAATCCGGTCTCCATGGCACATCGCCCGCGAACAGTTCCGTGTCTCTCGGGTCCACCCGCAACAAGCGAAAGGCCCCAGCCACGTCCTTCTTCGCCATCACCACTGGGACTCCAGGATACTGGGCCTTCAACCACACGCCACCTGTTCATGAGTCGGCTGGCCTGCTGGCGGGTGGAGGTCCATGTGATGTTGGGGACCAGCCCAAAGGGCGAGGAAACCGTATGTTCCAAAGCCGGATGATCTGATGACGCCACCAGAACTCGATGCTTCAGGATGTCCTTCATCAACTGAGCATAGACCTGTCCCAGGTCTGCCCTGGCCCTTGGATGCGGCTTCGTGGCCACCCTCTCTCTTTGTCCCTGGAACCGTGCAGGCACACCCTGCGCCTTGTCGATCTCCTGGATGTAGCCCAAGGCCGCAGTGGCCGCCTTTCCGGAGATGCCCTCCGCCTCAAAGTCGACCCATCTGCTTCCCCCCGTGTGACCTCCTCTCCAAGACCATGAAGACCATCCTACGGGCATCCCTCCGTTCACATCGGGTATACCTCTCACTGTGAAAACGACTGGGACCATAAGGGTACGGGAGCTCATCAGGGACCGCTAAGTCGCGTCTAGGCTCATTGGTGTGAAGCCAGACATAGCCGCGCTCTGCGTCAACCTCCATCTTGTTCCTAAACCCCAGATTCTGCCACACTATCCGTGTCCGCTCCCCTTCCGGTTGAGCTCCTGCCAGCCCTGTGTCTTCCTGGGTCTCTCCCATGCCATCGCCTTCAGGCTCCTCCACATCCTCACAGGTTTCCTCGTTCTCTGGCTCCTCAGAGTGGTGGGTTTGATGGTGGATCTCGACCCCATTCCAGACACCCATTTCCGCCTCAACGGCCATTGCTGCGACCTGCTGGATCTGCTCCTCCTCGAGGCCCTCTAATCCTTGGTCGCCTTCAGGTTCCTCCTCAGCGACCGCCTGTCTTGGACAAGGGAGGTTGTGGTTTTGACCCCCCCCACCAAGTATGGACCAACGTCTCAACGACCGAGCGGACAAAGTTGGCCGCGTAGACCCCCGCTTCGGTGCACCTGGATACACTGACCCCTGGTCTGTTGCCCTTCAAAGCGATGTGCTGGTGGGTGTCTGACAATCCCGGGCAGAGGCGTAGCAGTGCCTGTCGTAGAGGTGGGTGATGAGGGAAAGCAAGGCCTGTCCGGTGGCGGTAGTACTGGCCCGTGGTATCTGGAG